GCTTTGTCATTGTGGCCTGCAAACCACACTTTTGACCTCACGGCATGCACATAGTTACGGTCGGAAGTTTTATACATGCCCCCGAAGCATTGCCGATCAATGCAGATTTTTCCGATAGGCGGACAGTTTCTCTGATGCAGAGGATGACGGTGCTAGTGATTTGCGAGTTCCAGACGACGAGGGGCAGACACGGGAGCTACAACGTGTCATTGTTAGAAATAACATTACCATTATGCTACTCTTCGTGGTCGTGGTTTTACAGTTTTTTTTCATTCTGCTTCTCCTAGCTAGTGGTTGAGTTGCATTTGTGTACTCTGTGCTATTTTGGATGTAAGAAACTGTATGAGTTCCTACGTCTTTATGTAAGAAAGAACGACTTCTTAGTGGCTTAAGGTGCATATATGTATTTTACATTTTATGCTTATAAAATATGTTTGTAAATTTTTATTTGTAGAGATGAATTAATATTCATATACTTTGATATATAGATGAAGAAAAATTTTAAACCTATTTGTGCTCAAAATTACATTTTTTTTAAAAAAAAATGTATAAAATGAATGTTGAAAACTATTTAGTTCATTTAATTAAGTAAAAAAATAATATTTTTTATAAACTTGATGTATATTAAGCCCATATTTATAAAAATAAATCGAAATATTTTAAACAGTTTAACAGACAGGGACAGATTTGTCATTTTTACATTAACAGCTGGTTCACAACATTTTTCACACAGCTGCACCAAACAGACAGTCCCCCACCGCTGTTCCCCTACGGCTCCTTCCGGGGGCAGCGCAGCTGCAGCTGAAAAGCTGAGAATCTGCAGCTGCGCCAAACAGGCCCAACAGTCTCAGTTGTCCGTAGAAAATATAATTAAAAGAGTTGAAATATATATTTCAGGAAAAAAAATAATAATTATGGATAATTCGGCGCTCAGATTTTTAGATTTCAATAATTTTTTTGGTCGTCCGGAATTTTTTGGGCCACCCGGTTGACCATTATTTTTCCGGTCGCCCGTAAATTTTCGGTCGGTGGAAGACGCATGCGACCGGATTTGGTCATCGATCGGCTGTAATCTTTGGCCAGGATTTTGAGTCAGCTGGCAACTTGATAGGCCGGAAAGAAGTTGGTCAGCAGGAGAGCCGGCAGGCTGGACTTCGGCGATCGAATGGATACGGCGTTCGACAGAACTTGGCAATCGACGGAGCTGGGTCGTACGAAGGGGAATTCATGTCGCAGAGGGAAGAAGTTTCGGCGATCGGATGGACATGCGCCCGATGTAACTTGGCGATCGATGGGAGGACTTCACGCAATCGAATGTATATGTCGTCACAGAGTGTAGTTTCCATTCCAGCGTGTCTAAAATGAGGAACTCCATTCTCTGTATCGCCTCGCCACGGAACCAATAATCTTCTACGCAATACTAAGACTACAATGGCGGGGAGCACTCCTCCAACTTTGTTGCTAAAGATAAGCAAGCTATTGACAAAAGCTTCGTGGCACAGTTCTTCTATTCGTAGATTGTCCGTCGGAGAAAGAACCGGTTCATGTAAGTTACTACGAGGTAAGCAATCTGAGAGCCGAATCAGAAGTAGGATTTCATCTTGAGAATCCAGTGGACGGATTTGGATCTGCAGCGGAGCAGATAGGTTCCCATTGCAGAGCAAAGAGCTCTCTTTGGAGCAGAAGAGGCCGGAGAGACTGAATGGAATTTTGGGGAACTCCATTAAGGGTGCTTGGGATCTATGTGCTGAGGAAGCCTTTGCACATCGGTTGGAAATCGAACGCAAGTCTGCTGGCTTGGCCGTCAATCCGCTGGAAATTGGTCGGCCGGATGGAAATTGCACGCGGCAGAGGTTTCGGTCGGCTGCGAGCAGAAAGGTCCCACATCGCACTGTCTCTCCTCTCTAATGCCAAAAAATATTACATAGGGCTCTTAATTAAATAATGTCACATGAAATCATATATTAAAGTGTATATATATTTTTTTATTTATAAGCCTCTCTATGACATTTGACATGACATTATTTCATTGGAATCGTGATGTATTTATGTATTAGAACTTTTGATATAATAATTTTTCTTTGAATGCCCCAATCTCAACCTCATAGGCCAGGTGGAGTGCGAGAGAGAAATTGAAGTCACCGACAAAGAGCATTAAATGGTATTGAGTGAAAAAAAACTCCAATAAAAAATCTATTTTCTTGCAGATTTGCCTTTCCAGTTCCTTTGTGACATATTAATGAAGATTTCTCAGTTTACTTATGAAAGTCTTTAGAGCACTAGAACTAATGCCCTTAGAGGGATTGTGTGGAATCTATTCATGGTTGTAGCAAGCAAAGGTTCTATCTTTCCACATTTTTTGAATGTGCTTTTCGCCTCCGAGCGAATTCCTCTCTGAAGATGATGTAAAATAGATCTTTGGGCTTATGAATTTACCATTGTGTCGTTTTCCCTTGTGCGCTCTCTGTTAGAAGTGGTTTTTCTTAGTGTTGCTCATTTTGTTGTTGATGACATGTCCACACACCCCAAATCATATGTTAAATCTGAGTATGACATGTCGAAGGTATAGTGTGAGAATCTAGAGAAAGAAGGAAAGAAAATGTCACATCATGGTTGCTCCCAGTGGGGCAAAGTGGGAGTGTTATTTGGGTGCTCAAACCCATTTCATTTATTAAAAGTGTATACATTAGAAGAGGAGAGCCAACATGACCTCTCTCCTCTTATACATAAAAGAGCCTCATATTTATAAATTATACGAGAACAAATATGAGAGTACAAACTTGTCACCGGGAGTATCTTCATTGACCCCTCTTCAAGCCTATGACACCTCTTCACTAAATAGACACCTTCTATTTTCTCATGCACTTTTTGGTCATACAAGAAGGAAGGCAGCAATCAGATCATAACGCACACCGACCTTCAAACTCTCATTTTTCTCTTACTTTCTCTCCCTCTATAAAAAAACTAAAGCTCATTTTTCTCCCATTTTCTCCCACCACATTTTGATCAACTTTAATTGACGAAGTGATAGATACGATTAATGGGAAAAAATTGAATGATGTGTATGTAATTATTAAAACTTTGAGCATTTGATGTGAAATTTTATAGGAATGTAAAATTCCCCTTCCGATTAATAAAAATAGCTTGAATATCCTGTATTCGGCTGGCTTCCAGTCGCCACGTCACCTATCTCTCCTCGCGCCTGGTCGGCGGGGTCGGCCTCTTTGGTGGCGTGATAGCACGAGCTTTTGTTAAATTATAGTTAAATAATATCCCGCACAAGTGAAAATCACATGGAAAAAGAAAAAGGAGAGATTTCACTCTCTGCTGGCTAATTGTTATTATTATTTTCTTTAACCACACAGAGAGAGAGAGAGAGAGAGAGAGAGAGAGAGAGAGAGAGAGAGAGAGAGAGAGAGAGAGAGAGAGAGAGAGAGAGAGAGAGAGAGAGAGAGAGAGAGAGAGAGAGGGTGACATTCTAACCCACCGACTCCACTTAGTCCGAAAGATCTACAATCTCTCTGCTCCGTCGGTGGCCACCGGATCCCCGCACAACCGGAGCATTATCCTCTGCTCGAGATAGTTCCGGTGAGTCTTCTTCATACCTGTCTATTTTTTTCCCTTGGATTTTCGTTTCTCTCTAATTTTCACGGCTGGTTCGGTTTTTTTTTAGTGTGAATGATAGTGCATCCGTGAGCAATTTTGCACTAATGCGATCCGGTTCATTGCTTTTTGCAAGTGTTCGATTACTTATATATTCTTAATTAGAGATTTGGGGATGACCCAGTTTGTTGATTTTTGGGAAGATAGTGAATTTAAGTCAGTGCCGCTCTTCGGAATCTGGATCTGATGTTAATGGCTTCCAATCCGGTGGAAGGGATGAAATTGGAAGTGTGATCACTTTTCTATGAATAGGAACTCTCTAGATTGGTTTTTTTTTTTTTTAATTTGACGGCATTAAAAATTTTGGCATTTCTTATTTGATTACTTTTGCTTTCACTTGTTGGAGATGCCTGCATGTATCAAATTATTTGGATCTAGTAAGTGTTCGGCATGAGTTTAAGTCGTTTGTGTTGTTGTTGTTTTTTTTTTTTTTTTTGAAATCAGCGCAAGTTCTGCATGAGGCGGAAATGCTGGCTCTGTTGATATGAATTGTTGTTTTTGGTGGTTGCAGACTGTGACGGGCGAGGTGGGCGGATCTTTCTATCTGAAGCAGGGGATTGAGCGCTAAGCAAAGCTGGCGGCGACAATTGCTTGGAGATACACCAGCAGCAATGGTGCTCTGGATGTGGTACTCCGGCCTGTTTCAATCTTTACTGTGATTATTGCTTTCTGGTAGTCTTATGTTACGCATAAATTTGTGAACTGCCCGCCTTTGAAAAATGTGTTATTTTCCGTTGGGGCTAATTGGGTTGTTTCATGGTGCAATTTGCAAAAGAAGGGTAAAGTAGATATTTATTGGAAGGAGGGGTGGAATCAAGTTTAGATTTTTAGATTAGTTCTTGCTTCTTTTCTTGTGTTTTGGCTTGTTTTTTCATTACCGCAACGGAGAACACTGAGATTAATTTGCCGGAGCCTTTCAACTCCTCATTTCCTTATATATTTTTCATTCAAAGATGAGAGTTATGGTGGGTTGATCACTAGCAGTATTTGCGCGTAACTGTTTTATTTAATTTTTGGATCTGTCTCATCCATGGAACTTTGCAATTATCAACTTTTTATGGTTCATTGGTGGAACAATGTCACTTTGAAAACCAGACATTGGCTCAAACTTCAGTGGAACTATTGGACAGTAGCTTTTTGAGTAAAGCGGCCGCTGAACTGCACTATGTTTTCTTTTTGGGAAACTTACATACCTTGCACACAATTCTTATGCATTTACATATCTCAAACCTATGTTTTCATATTTACATACATCAAACTTTGGCGCTTTAAACTTATACATGAAATGTTTATTTTCTTTTTATAAAGGAGTTATAGCGCTATTTTTGATGTGATATTAAAGAGTTGAGTGCTATGTGTGTAAGTATGAAAGTCTAGATGTGAGATATGGAAATACATAAGGATTATGTGCCATGTATGTAAATGCCCCTTTCTTTTTAGGTTATCGTGGTCAATTACCATGATAAGCTCGAAGCAGCACCAATTTCTCATGTTAGCTTCCACAAAACTACAACTTGTTGTATTTTTTTTTTCCTTTTTTTGGTGGAAATAGTAATAAACTCAGGATTTCAGGAGACTTGTATTCCCCTTCAAACATCGAGTAGAAAAGTGAATAGCCCTACATCTATTGCTCTAAGAATAGACAATATCTGTTTGGATACAATTGGCTTGTAGTTCTTGGACCAAAATTATTTACTTGTACCATTTTTTTGGAACTCAATACTCGTCTTGAGATATAACAAAAAACCATGTTCCATCCTAATTTTTCTGTTACAAATTTGGTAGATTATCTACTATAGATAAATATGTTATTAGTGCTTACCATGCTATATGACTGATTGATAATTTAGAAAGTGTTCTTTATTTGATGTAGTATGTAGTCCAATCAGGAATTTTATGAGAAAGATGTATGTTTTTGTTTCATCCCTTCTTTGTTCTTACCAGACCAATCAACTTTAGTCTGCATATGTGATATCTAGTTCAATGCAATCCTGAAAAACCCGGATGCAATTTATCTTTTCTCTCTATGTTGTTCAGTCTTTCACCCAACTTGAACTAATTTAACACCTTAATTAATAGTTTCATTTTTTTTGTTTTTGTGCAAACACATGAATGAATTGAAACCAACTTGCATTCAGCTGTGGTTGCTCGGAATCAAATTATTTTAATTTGGGTAAATTGGAGTTTCATCTCCCTTTCCCAATTGCCTAGCTAAATTGGACCTACTTAAAATGATTGGTGAGTGAAGAGTAGGGATCTATCATTTTGATTTCTTGTAGTTGGGTTTTGATACACATAATTCCACCCTAGCTCCAATATTGGGAGCTATATCTATAGGTTTACAATGGAATCTTTCAGCCATAGGAGACGTTATTTCTTTAACTAGCACCATGCTAAGTCATCACGATCAATTTAAGTTTTTAATGGTTCAATCTTTTTTTGTTCTCCATTCTCGTTGTTGCTTGACCGTGACTTTATAATCTTTACAGTGAAGCATATTGTATCATTTAGTGGTGACTTCTTGGCTGTCCTTTATATTTTTTTCTGCACAAAAAGATACTTCACCTCATTTATTACATGATTGATTGCTGCATTGTCGCTCACTTGCCATTGTTTTGTGTGATCATATTATCTCAGGAGCGAAATGCGGATGGTAAAGTTCAAGATTCGGAGCCATCTACTCCTCATTCTATACTGAAAATGAGTGCAAGGTGAGTTTTGCAATTTTATTTTATTAAATTTTCTTTCAGATGCCTTTACTTTGATTCCTTATAAATTTCTATATAAATGCCTGCTCATTGTATTTTCTTCTAATTATTGTCAACTCACGGCGAAACTGCTTTTATTACCATGTTAGGGCTGGTTTTGATGATTTATCCACACATTCTGATATTGTTTGTATAATCGTATGCTTCAACTACCCTTGTTAACCAGTGAAGTTCATTTAATGTGGAAATAGCAATAATTTTTTATGGGAGGACCACAATGGTATGACACTTATGATAATAATCATTGATGGAAGACCATCAATTTTTTATCCTGCCCTCCAAAAGGTATACCAAAGGCGAGAAGTCCACCACTAGGCTCCCTTTGAGTATTTTTATCTGGTTTATAGGGTTTCCTATGCTTCAGCTGAGGAGATCTGATTGATATTCTTGATTTTGTTGCAACAGATTTACTTTTGGGATTTCTTCTATAGGAATTAGATGAGATTTTTGAAGTTTGTTACTGCATTTTCTTTAGTATGACCATAAAATCTGATATGTTTGGCTCTCTGCTTATTGACAAATATAAGCTTGATTCATTCAAATTTCATGGTATTTACTTTTTCTATGCTTTTACTCTTCCCAATTACCCTTGTCCTGTAATCTCTCAGTAAAAATCAATCCATTTTCTTGAGCCTCTTCAATGAGTAAATGGGAAACTCTAGAATAGCTTCTATTTTAACCAATTTCCCCTTGTTGTTAAATTGGATCTTATTTAGATTTAAGAGGGCTTACGCTTAAATTTGGTTTTTATGTGTGAATTTAATTGAATCTTGGATGGTTGGGGGAAGGAGGTAGACCTTATCAAGATCCCATGATTATGCTAGCCATTTATATTAACGAAATTAATTTGTCAATTTAAGACGACTTTGAGCCATGACATTTAGGGAGCTTGATTAACAACTTTGGATTACCTTATCTAAAGTATTTTTAGCAATTCCGAGCGAAATAGGCACTGAAGATGTGCTTTTATGGCTGACCTCAACTCGTTTACAGGTGGAGGATTGGTTGTATCAATTTTATTGTGTAAATTGGAGTCATGGAATATGGCATCTTGCGTTTTAGAGGTACTGGGTATGACTATCAAGAGATTGGAGGCTTGGTATGACTACCGGTTGTTTAGAAGTGTCCGCTTGACTCGATGAAGCATGTATATGGATTTTGATTGATGGGTTTGATTTCAATTAATAGGGTTTTTAGCATGGGAGTTGGCTTGAGTTTAGTTTATGATTAAGCTCATTTCAATTGAAAGGCTCGAGAATTAAGTGTAATTTGACAGGCTTGATTACTATGAATTGGCCTAGATTTGGGCATGCATTCATAGAAGTTTCAAAAGTGGAACTTACAGTCTTGAATACAAGGAAAACTAAATAATGGTCCTCATAACCTTACACTATAGTTAATATGACCTAATTAATTAAGGTTGATTTAATGGGTTGTTAGCTTCGTGTCATGCCAATTAGTTAAGTTGGGGCATACGGGCATTGGAAAGTTCAATTTTTAGAATTCTAGGTTTTTTTATGCGGAGCTTATTATATTGCACATATTGAGATGATTTGGCAAGATTTTGACATCTACTAGAAGTTAATAAGGTTAAACATGGATCCTTGGCTTATTTTCCTAATCACTAGGTTAGCCTCATGTATATGAGCTAAGGTTCTAGGGTTTGAGCTTCGAAAAATTATTTTGTTGATTTTTCCACTTCAAAGGGACATTATGATCATTTGTTTTTTCCACTTGTTTTTTAGAATCCCGACTTAGAATTGAAATCATTTCTTTACCTAATGGAAGTTGCTTGCTTATTGTAGTTGTCAATACATTTACACAAATATTAATGTCTATAGACCATTCATAAATATGTATTTCATAGCTTTTTTTTTGGTAATTTAAACACTTTTTAAAATGTATGACATCCTGATGCACTTTGTGCACTTTTAATAGTCATGTTTGAGTCAATGAAAGGTTGATTGTAGGTTGAGTTTACTTTACAAAAGTTAAATATAATGATTTTAGCTTTAATAACTTTCTGGTCTTTTTGAATAATTTTTATGGCTTTAAAAATGAATTTTACTGTTTGGGTGTAATGACATTTGTATAATGGCCTTACTTTCATTACTTGCAAATATATCATCAAGTAGAAGTTTTCTATCATTCAAGTTTTGTGTTGGGCTGCTAGTAGCTTCAATGTTTCAAGTTTTCATACATTAGTTTCATATAATGATTTAAGAAGGCTTTTCAGCTAGTTCTTCAAAGCATCATATCAAGCGATCTAAAATGAACACAATGTAGTATTATTGAAGGTTAGATGAGTCCCATTCACTTTTTGGCTAGGGATTTTTAGTAGTTTAGGGCAGGTTCAGGTGCTCAAGTCTCATCCTTAATCAGTTGTTCTAATTTATGTTTTATGTTAAAAAGTTAACGGGGCTTGAAATGAGTTGCAATTTTAAATATTAGTTTTAATTAAAGCTTGATAGTGCAATCTGATTACAACTGAGTTCTCTTTTTTCTCTTGTTTGAGCACATTTTTGGTTCTTGCTTACACATGATTTATGTGATGACTGCATTTAATTTCTTTATAGTGATCAAATAGAGGTATTGAATGCATTGTCGACATTCAAATCATGAAGCCACCATGATGTTTATCATTTATAATGGTCCAAGAGCTATTACCAAATTTTTTTGATCGTATGCAATTGCTAGTGGAAAGTAAGTCATTCCTTGAACTCAGATCAAAGATTCAATGAGGAAGATAGGAAGATCAAAGGCATAATGGCCTGTAAAGTATTGTTGGATCAACGATTAACAAGGCGAGGTTGGCTTCGGCCCCAGTTGATGAAAGATAGAAAATGTAAATGGGCTCATTCATGAAGGAGTTTATAGGACCTAAGCTTGATGTCGAGATCAAATGGCGAGTCAAGCAAGCCTGAGGTGGTTAGCTTAGGTGACGTGTAGCTGGATAGAATATTGTAGTGAGTTGGGCAAGTTTAGAGGAGAGCCGTAACTGAGCAAGAGAGAACACGTGCAAGAGATGCAATCAAGGTCAAATGGGAGGTTGTATTGCTTGCTTGAGAATGAGGGGAGTGCCATATATAGCATGGAGAAGACTAGGAGTTGGGTATGCGAGCTTGACGAAGCGAGCACTAATGAGTAATGATGAGGCCATAATTGGTTTGCAAGGGAGATGAAGTACATGTGAGTTGCTAGAGAGGTAAGTATGGTTTTTTAAATGAGAAATTAAGACTCCATTTGGGGCCGCGTTGTTTTAGCGCTTCTTTTTTTTTTCGTGTGCTTTCCTTCAGCGGTAGCGGCCTCTTGCCGCTAAATAGGATGAACACAGGCCGCGGGATCGACCCCGCGGCCTAGCGTTCTTGAACGATAATACTTCCTTCGCCCCGCTCCGCTTGAAAGCTGCTCTAACCTCATTCGGGAAACCACCACTCCCTTCCTTGTCGCGAGAAGCCCCTACGCCACTGCTCCCTTCCTTGTCGCGAGAAGCCCTACGCCGCTGCTCCTTGTGGCGAAGCCTCCCCCGGCTCCTCCCCGCTGCTCATCTTCCACCATCGCGCAGCTCGCTGTTCCTAATCGGTATGTCTACTCTCCTCCCAAATTTTTCTTCATATTTTGTTTCTACTTCGTGGTTTACGTATCCGGGGAGTCGTTCCTGTTGTTTTTCGTTGTTTCCTTATTCATTTCGGGACTCCTTGTACGGGCAAGATAATTCTTAAGGGATATTGATTGTAATAGATAAAGATTGATTTTCAATTTTTCTAAACATTCATCTATGGTTAATCTTACATCTCAGTTCTTACATATTATTCAATTCATGTTATCACCATTTTTGCAATCTTTATGTTTATTAATACTTAGTTCTTATCAAATTCTTAAGTTTAATATATATGTATATGGATAAGAGGAAGATGATCCTTTTATGGCTTAAATACATATCATGCTTGAGAAAGCATCCTTCATGATTTGGGCAACACAACTGCAGAGATGGTACAAACCAATTAGAAGGTTCATATGAACTTAGAGCCATAAATTAGCCATAAATTTATGCTTAAAACTCAAACGTGAATTTTATTGAATTGAGCATTTAAATTATTTTTCTGAACTTTTAAAAATACTATATGTGAGGAAGAATTTATGGTTTTTGTTCCTTTTTTATCTCCAATATATCATCATTTGCATGTTTGGGAGCTTATATTTTTTAAATAATTCTATTGTAAATTGAATTGTGATGTTTTTTTGTTATACTGATGATGACTCATTTTGGTTATTTTAGCTGATTTACCTATCACAATTTTCTACTTTCTAATTGATTTTATTGTTGCGTTTCATGGCTTTGTTTTGATATAGTAATAATATGGATAATAAACCTAAAGAGGTTTCTACACCCGCATTGTGGGAAAAATAAATGAAAATAATATTTTGTGTTATTTGCATTAAAGAGACTGAACAGAGAAATATGCCTATGATCTATTTCAATAAAGAAGGGTGACAAATTATTATCAGATATTCTAAGGAATGTACAGACAGAGAGTACGACAGATTGCAAATAAAGAATAAGTGGGACCAACTGAAGAAGGACTGAAAAAGAATTGAAAATAGTTTCTACGGGTCTGGGTTGGGATCCAGTGAAGCGAACAATTGATCCACTTGATGAATGGTGAGCTGAAAGACTTGCGGTGAGCATTGTTTGTAAACTTTGTTATTTTGTAACTTTATAGTTTATTCTTAATTGAGTGTTTATAAATTTCCATGTAGGTCGTGTCCGCTGCAAATAAGTTTAAGTTTTCTGGAATTGAGCCTGAATTTGCGGAGAAACTCGACAGGGGGGGGGGGGTTGTTGCAACGGGGAACTATGCATGTAGCCCAAGTGAGACAGGATTCGCTGGCAATGCCGTGAATTTGGGAACCCCTGGAGGTTCGGTTGATTTTATTGACGT